TCAGAAAGAAGCCTCATCACTTTGCGAAGTACTTTGACTTCCTACATGGAGCTCACCAGCGGCTTTGGGGACAAAACCGATAATGGTCTGCTTTGTGAGTCCCAGACCTTCAGGCCGTTTCGGACATTCCGGACCTTCTGCCCTCCATGAAGTCCGCTGGCCAGCCTGTGGGTGGGCCGCTGTATCTCCGGCGGGAATTTTATGGGGTGTGACCCCTGTGGCTGCACAAATGAGACGGTCATAAATGTGATTTGAGATGTCTTGTTTTGTGAGTGCCATTGCCTGCTCGCACTCTCTCCACGTGGTTGGCCGAAAGTGCTCGCTTCACGTTATTGGCTGCGTGCCACCTGACACATTTGTAAACGCCATCAACACCCCCCCCACATGCCCCCACGCGCACGCACACAAAGTGACAATTGCACTTGTTTGCAGCAGCGTCAGCGCTGTAAATCTGGCTGAGTGCCTTTTATCAGGGCTTGTTGACGGACAGATGGAGCAAACAAAGTGATAACACACACGAGAGACACACAGACACAGGCTTACACACACACACACACACACACACACACACACACACACACACACACACGCATGCGCTAATAGGCCTTCCCACATGGGAACGCAAGTATTCCGATTTTCTGACATCATGTGTGCAAGCTTCTTTGCTCTGGCCAAGTCGTTGTGAGGTTTTGCCATTTGTATTGTTCAATCAGAGTATGCAAATGTTTCTATGTCCATTGTGTGCAAAAGTCTTGCGTGTCTGACGTGATGGGGAGAAAAAAAAAAACAATAAGACTCTTTCTAGAAAAGGGGAGAAGGTGCACTCCATTTATACATCCAGCAGTCACATTGTTGTTGTTCATTTGTATTTTGTGCACGCATTGTATTCATTCTCTGCTGTGGCCACAATGTCGTTCCCATAAAATGGACTTGTTTACTTTCCAACTCAGCCCGGAGCAGAAGTATCATCACGCATGTTTCGATCATGACGTCTCCGTTCCACTGGCGACCGAAAGGAGACTTTGATTCTCTCCTCTCATTTATAACTGCTTCAAACAACAAGGCAGGAATAGTTGTTACGGTTGTATGACTGTCCATGTTTTATGTTACGTGTTCTGTGACATTTTTTTGTTATTTTTGTTAACCGTTTTTGGAAAGCGCTTTGTTACGGCTGCAGCTGTTATGAAAGTGCGAGATAAATACACAGGTGTTGTATAAAACACTGAACCCTGGCCAAGACTAAGTATAATGTGTGCACAAAATACACAATGGAATAAAATGACTATAATTAATGACTTACTGTTGGGTAAACAACAGTTGTGTTCCGTACACCACTTTTATTTAAGGTAAGGGACAGCAGATCGCTAGTATGCATTGGGTAAAGGTGCGCTCATTTTGCTGACCTTGATAACCGAGTTGTTGACGAGAATGACAATCAAGGCACAAATGAGTATTTTGGGTGCACATGACATCTATTTTGTGGTCACACTTGAGTCTTTTTGTGTCCACAAATGAGCATGTTGTCCGACCATATTGTGGGCACAAGTCACTTTTTTTTTTTTCTCCGGTTGCATTTATGACACGGTCCCCAAATTCCGGGCCACAAGACACAGACACTGGATAAACTACCTTGAGGAGTGTTGTCCTTGGTCTACGATTTGTTCCAGAGAAGAATTCTTTGACCTGTATGTACTGAATGGAATCACTTCTGAAAATGATTGCTTTTTTTTTTTTTTTTTTTTCCTCGCTGCCCAAGGTGCGCTCATTTTGCTGACCTTGATAACCGAGTTGTTGACGAGAATGACAATCAAGGCACAAATGAGTATTTTGGGTGCACATGACATCTATTTTGTGGTCACACTTGAGTCTTTTTGTGTCCACAAATGAGCATGTTGTCCGACCATATTGTGGGCACAAGTCACTTTTTTTTTTTTTCTCCGGTTGCATTTATGACACGGTCCCCAAATTCCGGGCCACAAGACACAGACACTGGATAAACTACCTTGAGGAGTGTTGTCCTTGGTCTACGATTTGTTCCAGAGAAGAATTCTTTGACCTGTATGTACTGAATGGAATCACTTCTGAAAATGATTGCTTTTTTTTTTTTTTTCCTCGCTGCCCAGCGGCCATTTCCCGTCCCGGCTGGTTGTACTGTATTGGCTCGAATATAAGACGGCCCTGATTATAAGACGACCCCCTCTTTTTCAAGACTCAAGTTTGAAAAAAGACTTTTTGAATAACAAATTAATTTTTATTCAGAAAATAATTACATTACATCTGAAACAAATTATTATCACAATATATTTGAGAGAAAGAGCATGTTATTTTGCCTCATAAAAATCTAAAGTGCAATCACATTCGTAAATGAATGGCTTCTGGTTTTTGAAATGTAAATTACATCATAACTTCTCCTCAGTCGCCACTTTTCTCCAGATTGTCGCTATGTTTCTCCATTTTCTGATATCGCTTCTATTATTTTCTTCTCTTTTCTTTCTTACCGCTATTTTTTTTAATTTTTCTTCTTCGTGCTACCTCTATTTTTATTTTTATTCTTCGTAGCAGAGGTTCACTTTGGCCTGGGAAGTCAAGTTCAGCATTCGCGTCAATGATATCTGGCGCCACCTAGCGTCGTGAATGGGAATAATTTCTAGACCCCGAATATAAGACGACCCCCACTTTTTCAGTCTTGTTTCAAAGCAAAAAACACCGTCTTATATTCGGGCCAATACGGTATATTGGATCATTTGTTCGTCAAAATATGCCTTGACGGCAACATGCTCATGATTGGGGAGCTCCGATATATGTCGAAAAAGGTTTCTTGTAACTGTTCGATGGTATATCTTCATGTCATCATGTGGTTTGCATGCCGCTGCTGCCCTACTTGCTTTTCCTCTCGCCCCCGACTTTTCGATTCGCTACGTCCTTTGCGGCATGCATGTCGCTTGAAAGGACTTATACTGCGACTTTGTTCACAGTTGGTGGCACACCACATTTGTTTGGTGGCAATGCTCGAAAATTCCTCCTTGTCCCGTGTTGTTGTTCTCCACGGGCTGCCCTTGTTTGTTAATAGAAGGGGGTACATTCAGACAAGGGGTGGGGGGAATTCCCCAACAAACACATATGCTCAAGCCCCATGCTTTTCATGAGGCCTGAGCATGACCTGAAAACAAGTTCGAGGCTGAATACACAATATGCGCACTGTTATTTAAAGAACAAGTTTTGTGCATGCGTATGTGTGTCCACTAGACTGTGACTGAGCTTGTCACTGCGTCGCTTTGCAGTCAGTGAGTCAGAGAGCGTGGCGGCGGGCTTTTGGCAAATTAGCGCTGCGCTCGGAATAATAAAGATAAAGAAAGCCGTTGGTGCCACCGTTCCCTTCGGGGGTCTTATCACGTCACATGCGCCCTCCCCGTGTAATGAGGACAAAAACAAGATCGTCCTCATCCTTCCGCAGCCTGCCCTGTCCCATTGCGCCGCCGAGCGTCTTTTCACAGCCGGCCGGGCTCATCTTCCGAGATGTGTAAAATGTCGCTTGGATTGAAAGTGGGGGAGTCAGGAGTCCAGCATCTAATACAAAAATGCCACTTTTTGATTTCTTTTGCTTCCCGCTTGCCCAAGAATGCTTCCAGATGGACTCGCCACCTCTACAAACTTTTGTTTTGATTGCTCGCCGTGCAGAAAAAGAGTATTTCTTCTGTTTTTTTCTGATCTTCTGTTTCAAGATGACGCCATAGTTGGCAGCCGGTCTGCGAGAGCTCTGCTTTTTTTTGTTGTTTTTGTCTTTTGTTTTATTCATATGGTGTTTGTTGTCCTTCATGTGGACATGGTGGGGACTGTTTTCAGCATTTTTTTTTCCACGGCATTTGTCGAAGGAGAAGAATCTGTGCTTGATGATTGCGCCTTCGTGGCAGCATGCGTATACCAGCACTGATTTTGATGGGGCGGGGGCGTCGGCGCTATTCGACTAGCGCTGCTTCATTACCCGGGGCGCTTGTGTAAAAGGCAGCGTTTTTCACAGCCCCGTTTTGTTCAGCGGAGATGTCAGCGCTATTGGACAGTGTGCGTTAGTGCGGCTGGATGGATGGCCGGTGGAGCTGAGGATGATGAGAGACGAGCATTGGCACAGAGCGCCGCTTGAAGTTGCAGCGGATCTAAACGAGATAGGAGTGAACCACTGTCTCTTTTTTTTTTTTTGGCAATGGATGCTACAACTTCTTGTTCACTTTCAAACTTAGCTTGCAGCAGACGTGTCGGACATCATGCCCGTTTTGATCATGAGGTCTCTGATCCGCTTGAGAAAGGAGACTTTGATTCTCTCCTCTTTCATCTTAAAGCACTTCAAACCACAAGGCGTATGCAGAAATAGTTAAGATTATATGACAGTCCGTGTTTTATGTGGTGTGTACATCTTTATTTATATAACGCTTTCACAACAGGTGCAGCTGCTAACCAACAGAACAGTTAACATAAAATAACAAAATCATATAATACAACACATAACATAAGACACGGACAGTCATGCAACCTGAACCACTTTTACTGCATCGCTTTCTTGTTTGAAGCACTTATAGATGAAAGAGGAGAGACTCATAGTGTCCTTTCACCAGTTAATCAAAGACGTCATGATCCAAATGTGCACGCGTCTGCTACAAGTCTGAAATAAGTAAGCAGCTGTAACGTCCTTTGACGAAAAAAAAAAAGAGAGATTCGTTCACTTCTCCTGTCCAATGTAAAATTCCAAGCGGCGACTCTTAGTTCCAAATACGCATCAGCGCTCTGCGCCGACGCTCCTCTCTCCTCATCCTCAACTCCACAAGCGCAAATAAAGATGTAGTGTATTGTCTACCGCTGTGATTATTTCCCACAAATGAGCTCCAGTGCGGGGGAAACACATCATCTTAGAATGACTTCAGGAGAGAAAAATGTGCCGAGCCGACGTCCGTATTTCACTTGACTTCGGACGAGCAAAGTGTGGAAGTGGCTTTGCAAAAAGTTCTTACCTGCGAGATGGACATGTTCAGGTAGACGAAGAGCCCCGTGGTGGAGGCCACCTGCAGGACCACCACCACCGCCACCACCAGGGCCACCCACATCTTGGACGGCGCTTCCCGCCGCCCCGCGCCGCCGCTGGGCCCCCCGGTCGGAACCATCATGTAGGTCGTGGACTCGCTGCTCGCCGATCGGAAATAATCCTGCTGTTGCTGCTGCTGCTGCTCGCTCGGGCTGGCCATGGCGCCCCCACCCCGCGCATCGAACCCAAGGGCACAGCGACAAAGCTCACGCTTAAATGTCCATGCAAAAAGAGGACACCAGCTCAAAGTGGGAATGTGGCCATGCCTGTTGGAGTGGACGAGTGGAGTAGCCTGCAGGACGAGGCTGCAAGCAGCCGCAGAGGGGCTGTCTTAACCTCTCCGTCACCCGGGGGGAGGGAGGGGGAGGAGCAGCAGCAGCAGCGGCGGCAGCAGGGAGGGCTCCAAGCAAACAGCTCACAACTTTTCCACCCTCTTCACTTGGTAAAAACTTTTGCTGTGTCAAACTGTTTGTCGGAAATGTTCTGCCTCCCCACTTTCGAGCAGCAAGTGTGACAGACAGGTGGTTGTATTTAGGTCACAGCGCACATTTCTGCCATCGCTTGAGTTTTCTTTTGGAAGGACTATAAACATGCTGAGACACATCGGGGCCACGTGAGAATACTCCAGCTCTCCAAGAAACCTAAGTTGATGGGTGACGTCATTTCTACTGCCAAACGGAATTCTTTCATACCCATTTACTGGTTGATTTCAAGTAATTCCATGTGTGAATAAATTCCATTATTTGTCGACAATATATTTCTTTTGTGTTTGTTCTCGAACGTATGAAACTGAGGTGGTGCTGGCTTGGCCTGCGTGGTGTGGGATGACTTGGCGCAGGAGAGTTGTTGTTAAATAGTGAAGGGTACCTGAACAATGCAAGATGAAATATAGCTTGGGGCGGGGGAAAGACTGAACAATTCTGTAATTGTTGATGGCAAACGGATGACTTGTCGTGGCCAGACACGAGTCCTGACTTAACGCCTCGGGACATTTTTCTTTGTGAGAACCTGAAGTGCGGGTAGGAGAAGTTCGGTCTTGCATCCCACAAGAGTTTCTGGTGAAATCCCTTGATGCCGTTCCTGGGTGGCTTGGGAGGCTGGGAGCCAACTCCTTTGTCTTTATCAGATTTGAAATGAATTAATTTGTTCGAGGAATCCATTACGAACAACCTCCCTCCCCCCCAAAAAACATGTAATTTTTAAATCTGCCTTTTTGTGGGATGCGATTTGCCAGCGCTTCTGCGCAACGTGAGTGACAGGTCACGCCTCGACAGGGTTGAACATGCGTTTGTGTTGTCACGAATTCAGCGGAGAGAAGCCAGGCAAGCTGAGCCAAAAACATATTGCAGACGCTGATGATGTTTTGGGTGATGAGCGGTGGGGAAAGTTTTTTTTTTGTGTGTGTGTGTGTGTGTGTTTGGAGTCTGCAAGGTCGCACGCTGGACCGCAGACACACTCAACAAGACCGCCCTCAACACCTGCGTCACCGCCTCAGGTGCTTTTTGGTCAGGACGGAGAAAACATGTTGATTTCCAGAGATCGGATCAAGTCTTAAGCCTTCAGTTGTCAAGCAGGTCACTTTGTCTCGGACAAGTCATGTCCCAAAGCAAGTCATCTTATGAAGCCAGTATCTTTTCTACATAAAGACAGAGGACCTCTAAAGTTGAATAATAATCATAACGTAGGCCAGTGAATCAAACTAGGACGTGTGCACAAGTACCCCATCTCGTCTCAAGTCATCACCGAAGTCCATGTCGTGCATCAAGTCTTTATAGTTTGTCACAAGTCATCAAAACAGTGACTCACTTGAGCCACTGTGTGTCTAAATCACTGGTGTCCAAGTCAAGGCCCGGGGGCGAGATCTGGCCCACCACAATATTTTGTGTGGCCCGCGAAAGCAAATCAAGCATGTCAAGTTTTCCATGATGCTTGCTAAAGACTCAACCAAAATTTCAAATTTTCATATGTAATCCATAATAACATATGATATTGCAAACATTTTCTCATTACCAAACCCCTTATTACATTAACGTAAAAAAAAAAAAAAAGTTGAAACAAGTCATTATTCTTGACTTCTGATTTTAAAATGAGTTATCCATCAATTTTTTTTTTGTGTGCTGTGTATGTAATATGGGGAGGTGAATGAACATTTATATGGTTTCACAAAATTCACCATCATAACGGCCCTCCAAGGGAAATCGTAACTACAATGTGGCCCGTGACAAAAATGAGGTTGACACCCCTGTTCTAAGTGACAACTTTTTTTCAACATTACCTGACCTAATTCAAAGCATGGCCTCCTCTGGCTGCTGCGCTGACGATTTTTGGCCACTCAAGTGCTATGGGAGATAATTCGGATTGAATTAGAGCATTTTGCCATTTCCCATCAAATTCAGCGTGTGATTATGGCGTGAAACGGAATGACAACCAATCAGAAGCTTCTCAATGATTTGTACATGTCCCTGAAGTTATTCACTGCAATGGAGACACCACATAAGCTGACAGCTAGCCTCGCTCTTCATCTTCTTTTGTGTTAATCCGAACGACATCGTGCTGCCCCTCGCAGGTCACTCCTAGTACTACAACAGACCCTCTGCTTGTTTTGGCGTGTGGTGCGTGTTCTGTCGAGCACTAACAACACACTTTTTTTCCCTTCACGTGAGGGCTAAGACTTTCAAATTGTGTTTGTGCTGTTAGTGTGTGGCTCATCTGTGAGTCTCAGTCCACCTATTTGACTGAGCGTCGTCGTCTTCAGCCTCTTTTCAGTCCAACTTTGCCTGGCACCTTTTCTGCATGCATTCCCAATAAAACGTGTCGGTACTTGCAGAGTTGCACGGCCGGCAGGCGCACAATACTAATCATCACGACCCGACTGCACGCACTAAATTACGATGCAATTCAAGGAACTTCCATCGCCTGAGCCACAAAAAGTCAGAGGCGTGCAGGCGGAAAGCTCTCCGTGCTTCAGTGAGGCTTGTTAGCGGCTACAGACACAAACACTCAAAAGCCCCCCCCCCCACACACACACAGCAGCTAATGCAGCCACTGTGTGTAATGATTTGATTTCAATAAACACAATAACAATGAAACAAATGACTGTCTACAGTTTTTCTTCTTGTTCTTACTTGAGCCCAACAAAAGCCCCGCCCCCAATGGATGTCCACGTGCACTCAGCCTCAAGTCATCGTTTCCAGACGGTTCTCCTGTGCTGCCACCTCGTGGACAGTCTGTAAAAACAATTAAAACACACGGAGCTTCCGCTTTATCAAAGTGTGCTGACTTTGGATCAACTTTATTGAGAATGCAAAACACTGCAATGACGTCACGTGTCGCGTTATAGGATTTAAACTCGATGAAGTGAGGAAGTGATGATGCTTTCAGCCAGCTGGCGAGCGAGTGCATCAACTGCGTCTCGGTTACTCGCTCGGTCTCCCCCTCGGTTGCTTTTGGCTTGCAGGAGCACACCGATGATGTCACGGGCCAGGCAATCTGCGAAAGTCTCCACGGCGGGTGGGCACGCGGGTGGATTGGACCGAAGCTCCGATTCCTTCACGTGTCCTGGTATCCCGTTGAGATTTTCAGTCAAGGCGTTCATCGTGGCTTTCTGTCAACATGGAATCTGTGTCAAACACATCGAGCGTGTGTGCGTCTCCAGATGCAGCCGCGACCTCGCCCCGAGGTCAGAAGCAGAATAGGTGGCCGCCCCCTCCCACCAATGTGCTCGACTCTGTGTGATGTTTGGGTCATCTCTTAAATTCTTTTAATTTTTACCACGTTAATAACACATTCTAATGCATTTTCATGCTTCCCGAGAGGCTCGAAGCTGCCGCTTAGCCGGCATAAGCCTTTGGCTGGTTTTCACTGCGACTGAAAGTGCAAGTGAAGCTCTCCTACCGCAGCTCATCCACACACAGCCCAAAGAGGAACCTCATTTGTTTTATCTCTCCAAAGCATCTTCCCAAACATCAGCAGCAGACCACATTACTGCTTATCAAGTACACGTGGAAGGACCGGGTGGCTGAGGTGAAGGCCAGACTGCATAGGCCAGTCCCCTTAACTTGCTCTTTCTAAACAATTTCCCTTTCGAGGACCTGTTTTTTGGTCCCTGTGAGTGATGGCGAAAATATACAGTATGCCCCAAAGACCTTAGTATACACACACACACACACACACACACACTTGTCCTCGAAGAACATTATTATATATTATTATAGAAAAGCCCAAATAGTCAAATCCAACTCACCGGAAGTTTTCTTTCACTGCTCACGCGACGCTTGTTGTGTCAACGAGTATGAACGCAAACCACCACGCTCACTTCCTGAGGTATTAACAGGAAGCACACACACTGAGTGTCTGTGTGTACATCAATACACTTAATGTTAGAAAGAAACCGAGTGCTGTATCCATTGTATTTGTGTCGTCCTGATCCCTCTGACCTACGAGGCCTTTTTGGAACAGTTTGGAACTTGACTGGAGTGTCATCTTGTGGAGAACACGTCCACTTTGATGGAGTCACTCTGCACTTCATGAGCACCAGCGAGCGGGAACAATTTCTGCAAATAGCAGAAAGTTCATGGCAAGCTTGCAACCTTTGCCTCCTGATGGTTACAAGTGTGCTGAACAAGCAGGAGGTTTCATGTTGTGTTTTTCTGGTGCAATCCATGGTGAGTCTGGACAAAAAATAAAAATAAAAAGCACATGAATGAATCCAGATGTGGCTCTGTGTGTGGTGTTCTCAAGTATCTGCATGTCAACGCTATTCGTTCCTAGACCGAGAGACTCAAGTTGGTATCATGCCGACCGTCATCGAGGGAAGCATCTCAGTTGTCTTCGGTACACATTGAGGGGAAATGATGGAGCATGAGGCACGAAGGTTCCACGGTCTAGCACAAATCGAAGAAGAATTGATTGAGCCTCGACATAGCCCTACATACATTTTCCTGAGTCTCGAACTTATTTTGGAAAGTTTTAATACTGAAATAAAATGTTCCAAATGCCCCTATCAAGAAAGTCAAGGAGAAGTTTGGATGGTTTGGCGTTGTTTTGACATTTCACTAAATAACACAAAAAAAAAAAACGCATCGCTTATTTGCAACTCGGTTTGCAGGAAACGTGAATGACGTCATGCTCGGGTCTAAGATAAGATGCGATAAGATAAGATAAGGATGCTCGGGTCTAAGATAAGATGCGATAAGATAAGAAACCATTTATTTGTCTCACAATGGAGAAATTCCCAAAAGGAAATTTCAATCTTGGCCCTCTTCTCTCATCCCAAACATCTTAAAAGTTCAATCGTCAACATCAAGTTATGCTATTTGTGATTACATGTATATTATTTCATTTATTTATGTTCTGTATACATATGTAATGTACATCACGTCTTATTATTCATTGTATTTGTCCTTTTTAGGCTTGCTTTTATTTTTCCTTGTTTTGCTCAGTACAAAGTACAATCGACGGCAATTGTGACGTCGTATTTAATCGCGGTCGTCACGAAATGACGTTAGCAGAAAGCTCCGGAGGAAAGGAAACTAACGGCATATTTTTAGCTAACATTGGCTTGTTAAAAAGTTTAAATTAATTGCATCGTTTGTCAAAATGCCATTTTACTAAAGGCAGATTTCGTTACATGTTCAAACCTCAATAAATTCCTATTGGCTGTTTTCGCAGTCTTGGCTTTTTGTGCGCTTGGAAATCAACCCAAAATCTCCCGATTATTACAACATTTCATTTATGATTAAAAGTTACCTTTATTTTTGCTCACAACATATCTGCATTTGGATTAAGTTCCATTCTGTCTACTAACCTAGTGAGTAGCACCAATCTGCTGTCTTTTTTCTTGTTCGGCATTGAAAGCTGAATGACCGATTCTCGCCTTTCTTCGGATAATTTATGGACAAAACGAGCACCTCCTCAGGCCGCATCCGATGGAGCTCGCTGATTGGTTCACACCGCTTTAATTCCACCCAATCGCGACGCCGCAGCGAGATTCGATTCTGCAAAAACACTTGGGTAAAAAACGACTGCAAAACAACGACGGCAAATCTTCCTCAAGCACGTTCCCTCGCCGTTTCCCAAGCGCTCCACTTGCGGGGATCGTCAGTTACGGTAAGCGAGATGCTTATGATGACACTACGTGTACAAACAACCACTGATATGTGCGTGTTGCCGCCAGTCGAGCCCAAATTGCTCCACTTTGTGTCCGCCGAAGCCAAACGCTGTTTTGTGCAGGTGCCATGCCTTTTGTGAGAGGAACGAGAGCTTCTGTCGCCGCCCGCTGCAAGGTTCCCGATGGAGTCGATTGCGACAAGCAGGTTAAAAAAAAAAAGATGACAAATGAACATGTGTACTCATGAGCGCGCCCCCAGCTTGCTCAGTGGTCTTCGGTGGTTTTCCAGCCGCAGGAGGAGCAGGAAGTTCCAAAGTCGAAGAGGTCCACTTCGCCTAGCTACGGAGCCCCCAAGCTCAAGAAGAGGACGGCCCTCGTCGATATGACCAATGTGAGCATTGCATATTGTTTCATCTCCAAAATGTACTATGTACTAAAATGTATTGTACCAGCATCATAGCCAACACCAAAGTGTTTACCCCCCCCCCGGCCCCCTACATTAATAATAGTACGAAAACAAACTTGTTCGTGAAAATTAAATGCAAATACTGTATTTTGAAGGTTAAGGTTGAATACAACAGAACTGTACATGGGTATTGATTCTTTGGCATTCTACTAGAAGATGTTGAGTTCATGACTTTGAAACTTAGCTTGTAGCCGACGTATGCACATTTTGAGTATGACATCTCTGATCCACTGGTGAAAAGGACACTTTGATTCTCTCCTCTTTCATATCAAACTGCTTTAAACAACAAAGTGTATGAGGGGAAAAGTGGTTAGGACTGCACGACTGTTATGTGTAGTGTTTATTATTTTACTTTATGTTAACTGTTTTGTTAAGCGCTTTGTTACAGCTGCCGCTGTTGTGAAAGCGCTATATAAATCAGCATGTATTGTATTGTATTGAGGAATGCTATTTGACATTGGATGAATCTCACGGCCACAATGTACTCGATGCATTCAAAAGGGATGTGGAAGAAAAGTTTATTCTGGCATACAGGGATGAGAAAGATGCATCGGTTCTAGTAGAGGAAGGATCTTT